AGCATTCGTGTTGGGGTAGGCTGGTGTGCTTCTTCCTTGTGGGTTTTGTTGTTTCTTAGCTAGATGGCTGTCTGTTTGTCTTCAAGCCTTTAAGACCCCAGATGCTGTATCATTTGACAGTCCGGCACCATCTGCTTTCTTCACCACTTTTGCTAATGCACCCCCTATGTCCTCAGCGAATGAGTAGGGGTAGGCTGGTGTGCTTCTTCCATGTGGGCTTTGATGTTTCTCAGTTAGATGGCCCCTTGTTTATCTTCCAGCATGTGGGACCCCAGATTCTGTGTAATTTGACAGCTTGGCACCACCAGCTTTCTTCACCACATTTGCTTATGTACCCGCTTTGTCTTCAGCATTCATCTTGGGGTAGGCTGATGTGCTTCTTCCTTGTGGGTTTTGTTGTTTCTTAGCTAGATGGCCGTCTGTTTGTCTTCAAGACTGTAAGACCCCAGATGCAGTATCATTTGGTAGCCAGACACCATCTGCTTTCTTCACCATTTTTGCTAATGTACCCCCTTTGTCCTCAGCGATCGAGTAGGGGCAGGCTGGTGTGCTTCTTCTGGGTAGGTTTTGTTGTCTTTCAGCTAGATGGTGCTTGTTTTTCTTAAGGTCTTTAAGGCTTCAGGTGCTATATCTTTTGGTAGCTGGGCACCATCAGCTTTCTTCACCACACTTGCTCGTGCACCCATTGTCTTCAGTGACTTCAGGTGTTATGTCTTTTGGTAGCCAAGCATCATCCGCTTTCTTCACCACATTTTCTTGTGCACCCATTGTCTTCAGTGATCATGCCAGGCAGGTGAGCATCTCAGACTGCCGAATTGTTAGAACAAAGTGTTCTTGTGTTGGGGAGTACTTGTGCAGGGGCCCACTGTCCATCTGTTTTCTTAATACTCGACCTATAAATATATGTACATAGATCTATTTCCCCCTCATCACATATAAATATATTTACATCTTTATATGCCTGTATTTACATCTCTATGACTATCCTTTGCCTCCTAGTTCTTTCCTCCATTTCTTTGTACTTTCCTCTTGTCCCACTATCGTGTTCTGCCCTCATTTGGGTTTTAGGCATGAATCTCTCTCTTATACACATATGTCTGTCCATGGATTTCTCTGGTCTACCCAGACTAACACTGATGGTTTCCTTAAGTGTAACAAATGCATCATACACATACAAGATGCCAATAAAAATATTAATTATACTTTTGAAAATCGAAGGCATTACCGGTATTTGTGGAAAGAGGTTATTTTTATGTTTTAAGACAGCCATCCTAGAACTCTGTCTGTGAATTACACAGATCCCCCCTTCGGTGCATGTAGAAATGCCCTTAGCTGGGAAATCCTGGCCTGATTGATTTCCTCATTGGCCCACGCTCAGGCCCCTGTGGGAACTGTAGTGTATCTCTCCAGCCCCTTCCCAGCTCTTGGGCAATGGAAATGGGCTTCCCTGGCAGATTTGGAAAGGCACCTTCCCATTCCTTCCCAAGGCAAAATAAAAGTTTTCTATGGCATCCTATTTCTTAGCCTACTGTAATGATGGCGGTCTCTGGTCTGATTGTTAATTCTCCTTAATCACAGACAAGGCCTTTTACATTTGTTTGTGGTTCTCTTCTGAGTCACTAGATGAGGCAATCAGGATTCCTTTCATATTATAAGGAGGCCACTCCTCCAGCGTCGGATTTCTGTGTGTGTTGATGGAATACATTCAAATCGCTTACTGCTAATGGCTCTTAATGAGGTGCTTGTCTTAAAGCCCCTCTGAGCCTCACGGGGTGGGGGTGGGTGGAGGTGGGGAGGGCCCAATGAAGGGCCTTTAAAGCACGCTTAATCTCCTTTCGTTCTAAACCCGTCTGCTTCAGAGGCTGAAATGGGGTTCTGTGAACCCATGTTAGGCTTTGAAAGTTTCCCCTTTCCATCTAAGAAGCCGGCAAGATGGGAAATGATCCTGAGCCTAAGATCACCTTTACTCCAAACCTTTCCTCTTATAATATGTGGTTCTCTTCTCTTCCTTAGAAAGAGCCAGGGATTTTCTGCACAAGACTGGCAGGTTTATTGTGATCGGCGGGATTGTCTCTCCGGTCCACGATTCCTACGGAAAACAGGTGGGTGCCTTCCTTCCCTCCCAGTGCACTTCCCTTCGGAAGCCAGGGCTTCCTATCCCTCCCCCGAAGGAAGGAGACCTGACCTTTCCAGCCCTGATGGACTGAATCAGAAGGTCGGTTTTAACAAGCTCCCAGGTGAGTCTCATGATGCGGGCACATCTCGTTTTTTCTTGTGCTCTGCAGATGTTGTGTTTTTTCATAATGTCAGGGTTGGTAACCTTGCATTGAACAAGTCGGTTCGTGAATTTTTCCCCAAACGGGCTCACTTCATGCCTCTGAGTCACATTTTGGCTATTTTCATAACACGTCAAACGTTGTCATATTGCTATTGCACACTGAATAGACTCCCCAGTTGCTGGCAGGAAGTTGATCGGGGCCATAGCAACCCTGCAGGACAGGGTAGGCTTGTTCCTGAGGAGCAGAAAGCCTCATCTTGCTGGTGGACCCAAGCATTAACCTAATGCTTAACCCAGTGTGCCATCAGGGACCCTACATACTGTGGTCCTAGACTATAGTGTAAGCATCACTTTTCTATGCCCTGGGAAACCAACCCCGCCCCCCACCCCAACACCCAAATTGTGTGACTTGCTTTTTTATGATATTGACTTCTGTGGGGTGATCTTGAACCAAACCTACACATCTCCAAGGCGTGCTTGTTCAGAAGAATCACCTGGATCAGTTTCTTGGGGGAGGTTGGGGGTGGTGGGGAGGAGAATGGGGAGCCAATAAAAATGAGCACAAGAAAGAAGAGAATGTTCTACAGTTGATTGTGGTGATGACTGTACAACTCCTCTTGATGTGATTGAATGATTGAATTGCATGATACGTGGATGATGTGCCAATAAAACTATTTTTAACAAGATCACCTGGAGATCTGCTTACACCGGAGATTCTGATCCTGTATTCCTGAAGTGGAAAGGCAAATTTTCAGCAGGGCACCGAACCAGTTGCATTCTACCCTGGTAGCTTCCCTGGACCTGCCCCATCCTCTTCTCTGGATTCCAGCCCAGCCTGAACAGATGGGTGTGGAGCAGCAGCTGGGAGGACCAGGCTCCACACCTGCCCAGGAGCATCTGCTCCCAGCACCTGGCCCCCGCGTGAGCTCACTAAAAGAGGAGCAGGCACACCTGCTGAGAGAGAATTGGCCCTGGAGCCAAATTGGCTACTGGCTTTGGGCTGAGTTACATTGTTTCCCTGCATTGCAGTGGGGGGACATCTCTAACCTCGCCTAACTTGATTTACAATGTACTTCCCTGGCTACCACATGCTCCCAGAAGGCCCCGCTTCCTCCCACTTGGAACTTGATGGGCTCTGGCGGAAGTCCCCTAGCCATACAAGACAAGGCCATGTTTGCTGTGCTGGGTCCATGTGTCTGGAAAACCCATGGCTGTGGAATCAGTCTCAACTGTTGACGGCCCCATGTGTATCAGGGTAGAAGTGGGCCCCGATGGGTGTTCAATGACTGATTCTTCAGGAGTAGATCTCCAGGCCTTTCTTCCAAGATGCCCCTGGGTGGGCTTGACCCTCCAAACGTTTGGTTAGCAGCAGAACATATTAGCCCTTTACATCACCCAGCATCCAGTGTATGCCCACACACTGGAAGCTGCATACCTGGCTACCCACTGACTGGCCCCACCGAGGGTGGCAAAGCCCACAGTGCCTTCCTTCCCTTGTCTTCCTCTCTGCCACTCTGTGTGTCTGTGTGCCAAGTGGGCAAGAGAAGGGGTCACATCCTTCATTTTCTCATCACAGAGAATGGGCTGGCTCCTGGTGGCGTGTCAGGGAGCTCAGGGGAGGGGCAGGAACCTCCTAATGATCCTTCTGTTGCCCCCAGGGCCTTGTGTCAAGCCGGCATCGTCTCATCATGTGTCAGCTGGCAGTCCAGAATTCCGACTGGATCAGGTACGGCTGGCCTGGTAATGCCACCAAAGACAGTGGGGCTGAGAGGGGCGGCCCTGGCACTCATTGCTGGTGAGAGAGGACAGAGAAAGAGTGCTGGCAATAATCCTGATGCTGAAAAGGTAGGGGGAAGGGAAGACCCTCAGGAATGGCCCAACTGCTATCTTCATGGCCACCTTGTTCTATTTGTGCGGGATCCACCCGTATAGCCACTCTGTCCCTCCACCTTGTCGGGGGTCTCCCTCTCTTTCACTCACCTGCTACTTGACCAAGGATGATGTCCTTTCCCAGGAACTGGTCTCTCCTGATAACATGTCCAAAGTCCCAGCATCCTCACTTCTAAGGAGCATCCGGCTGTACTTCCAACACAAACGTGTTCGCTCTTCTGGCAAAGCATAATTTCTGCGAAACCATAATTCAGAAAAATAGAGCCCAGTCAGGAGCCCTGGTTGAGCAACGGTTAGGATTGTGGTGATGATGATCGTACAATTCTCCTTGATGGGATTAAACTATTGAGTTGTATGATGTGTAAATTATTTGTCAGTAAAACTCTTGGGGAAAAAGTTCCCAAATATTTAAAACCAAACCAGCTGCCATCAAGTGGATTCTACCTCATAGGACAGAGTAGAACTGCCTCCAGAGGGGTTTCAAGGGTAGAAACGTTGATGGAAGCAGACAGCCTCATCTCTCCCCCCTCAGAGGGCCTGGTGGATTTGAACCACCAACTTGACAGTTAGTAGCATAAGCCACTGTGCCAGAGCCTTGAAAACACGGTGGGAACAATTCTCTGTCAGATAGTCACTGAGAGTCAAAATCGACCCAATAGCTCTTAACAATAGGCAACTCAGGAGGGGTTGAGGGGTTGTCTGCTCAGAGTGACCACGGGGTCTGGGTGAGACAGGGCTGAGATTTGAAATGCTTTCCCTTCTTCACTTCGGGGGTTTCAGGGCGGCGTTCCCTAGCCTTGGCTGTTTCCCATTCCTGACCCGCAGATCCAGTGCAGGCAGACGGACCCACTGCTCTTTACCACCCTCTCCTCGGCGTGGTCACGGAAGACCAGCCCCGGGAAAGGGGCTTCATGCTTGGTCAAGTGGTGGGAGAGGAAGGCCTTCCACAGGGATGCATCGACACTGGTCTGGTCGATGGGCTCAGACAAGTGTGAAGATGGCACAGGTGTTTTCTTCTGCTGTACAACTGACCACACCTAACAATAACACCCTGTCCGAGACCTTGACTCTTGATGGGAGCAGAAAGCCTCGCGTTCGCTCTTGGAGCAGCTGGGGGTTTGGAAAGGCTGCCCTTCCAGTCAGCAGCCCAGTTTGTAAGCCTGTGCTACCAGGGCTCTGAGCTGCCAATCCTCTGAGCTTGCGAGGTCATTAAAGCAAGCTGCCGCTAATTATGTTAATGGCGTTCCCCAAAGAGGAGGCCTTTTAGTTAAAAAATAATGCACACAATTTGTGCTATAATCCACCCCACCCCCACCCCCCAGTGGAAAGGGGGAGAATGATGAGGCATTGATCTGGGAGGGAGGGAGTTGGGAGGGAGTGGGGGCAGTGAAGAGAAGAAGGCAATAATGCTGACATACGTGCGCCCAGGTACAGTGACTTGTGGAGAAGCACAGGCTGTTTATAGACTTCCTCATCCCCCCACCCTGGCCCCCTGGGAGAGGCTAGGTGGGGAGACATCTGCCTTTCTCAGGTGAGAAACAGGCCCAGTGAGCAGGAGCACATCTGGGCAGGCCGGGATTCCTGACCAGGCCTGTGAACGTCTCCGCTCATGAGCTTCTGGGGAAGGTTGGGCCCACGGGGACACTGTGGGCACGAGGCTGTGGCTGCTTGGGTGTGATGAGATGATTCTGTAGTCATCCGGTGACACCTTCAGCAGATGTTTACCGAGTGCCTGCTGCCTGCCCACAGTGCCCCCTGGGGAATGGGGATGACAGGATGGGGAGACCTAAGATCCCGAGGGACGCTCCAGGTGGGTGGTCAAGGAACCCGGGTGTCGTGGTGGTTATGCATTAGGGGGCTAACCTCCAGGCCAGCAGTTTGAAACCCCCAGCCGCTCTTGGGAGGAAGAGGAGGCTAGAGCTGTAGTCTCTGATACCCACAGGGGCAGTTCTACCCTGCCCTGTGGGTCGCTGAGTTGGCATGACTCCATGACCGTGAGTGTGAGCTCTGAGGGAGCTGAACTTGGCCTCAGTGGGGCCTGCAGGCCGGGCCAGCACCCTGCCCGTCTTTAGCCACCTGTGTGTGCTTCTGGCTGGGAAGTGGGTGTCCAGTTCTGGGGGTGGCAGACTGAGAGTGAGCTGCCTCTTTAAGGGTTTCGGGTTGGTGGATCTTATCTCTGGGAACCTTAGGTGTGTCTTCTTGGGAGGTGGGTAGGGAATGCTCAACTGAGAATAAAATGAGCAATCGCCCAATTTAGCAGATCATTAATTTGATCATTAAGCTGGAATGCTGCCTCCCTGGAGGGCTGGCTCACTGTTCACTTCTCAGAGTGGTGTGTGGGAGGGGTTGGCTGGTCTCAGGCTCCCACGTGACAGCCCCCCCCACCCCCCACCCCCGGGACCCTCAGGGCACCCCTCTGCTCATGGAGACAGACGGCTTACAGCCACTGCCGAGGAGGGCCTGCCTCAGTGAACTCTGGTCACGGTCCTTCAAGGCTCAGAGGAGAACGGTCATTTTCCCCAGGCCCGGGACTAAGCATTTCACGTGTACAACTTCCTCATCCTTTCCACTCACCGGTCATCGAGTTACTTTCCAGCATCCCCTCTGAAAGCCTCTGCCCTACTTGTCTCACTTTGCAGAGGAAGAAACTGGGTCAGGAAGGCACCCCTGCCTACGTGTTATCCCAGTCGAGCGGGAGGGCCACAGTGTGGACAGGCCTCCTGCACTCTCAGAGCAGCGTCATGGTGAGGACCCTGTGTCTGAGGATGGCAACTAAGGGGAGCCTCTTTGTGATTATTCTCAGGGTAGACCCATGGGAGTGCTATCAGGACACCTGGCAGACGACCTGCAGCGTGTTGGAGCATCATCGGGACCTCATGAAGGTGAGCAGGGCCATGGCTGAGGAGTGGGTGGACCACCAAATGAAGGGGAGGGGCTGGGTCCTCGGCAGAGCCAGGCCAGGCCTGGAAAGGAGGCTGCTGGCCTACGGACCTGGTTTCTGCTTCTCACTTCTGGGCTAGCTGGAGGAGAGCGCCAGTGAACAAGCAGCTCTGTGGGAGGCAGTGGCTTAGCCTCTGGGCCGCTCCCTGCCTTCCTCCCCCATCCAGCCTCCCAGTTGGTGGTCCTGCTGGGTATGGCCCCCGGGGAAGCTTTTATCTTTGGATGGCAAGTTCAAGGTGGGATAAAAGAGACCACAGACTTATAGGTCTCCAGCAATGGAAGAGCTGAGAGATTGAACAGGGAAAGGGGGGAGAAGAGGGGCCCTTGTGGGCGGTGCAAGCTATGCACAAGGATGCGGCTTCTGAGGGGTGCCCAGACCTGCCAGTCACTGGCCCATCTTTCCCTTTCCTTCCTCCCACGCTAGCCCTGGAGAGACCAGATGCAGCTCTCCCTCTTAGAGAACATGGGGAATTAGTCAATGGACCCAAGCAAGGGATGCTTGCTTGGTCACCATGCCGGCTGCCCTGGCATTTCTGTCGGGGGCCTGGGGCTGCTCCTGGGCTATAGAGGTAGACAGCGGTGTGCCAGGTTTGAACAGGCTCTGCCCAGCCAGCTTCCCTGAGATGAGTTGGAAGAAAACACCCATCACAGCAGATCGATAGCAGTCTAACACCCCTGGTGACAAGGTAATAAGCACTGCTTTGAGAGCTCAAAGTAAATCAAGACAAGAAACAACAATCCGTCTCACCTTTACTGACCTCTATGAAGAGCCCTCCCGGAGGCCCAGATAGCAATCAAAACGGCATTGTTCTGGGGCAGTGGGGCGTCCGGCCCATCTGAGTTCCTCCTGTCAAAGGGGATGGTCAGGAGCTGCTGGTGGCACCCCAAGAAAGACCTTCTGACAATACCACCAGCACTTCCTGGGGTGCTACCCACAGCTCCTCACCACCCCACAGTCCAACAACCCAATGGCTGTGCTTTGTCCTAAGTGAGAGTTAGGGCTCCAGATCATTTGGGGGCACAGAGCAGGAGAGGTTAACCCATCTTATTTAATCAATCAAATGTCTTTTCCCCAGAGAACCCAGAAAACCTGGGGTCCCTTCCTTCCACCTTCAGAACCCTTCGCAAGTGTGCACAGACACCCTCAGTCTTTGAGGGTCCCCTTGACAGGACTCCAGGGTGTCCCCAGGTGACACAAACTTGTAAGTGCTCATCTCCTAGCAGAAATCTGGGCAATATGAACCCACCCAACGGCTCCTTGGAAGAAGGCCTGTGATCTGTTTCTGAAGGAGCACAGAGCTGGGAAGCCTAGTGAGCAGTTCTCCTCTGCACGCATGGACCGGCCCTGACCGAAAGCCAACTGGCTCCTTTTGAAAGGACTCTTGCACCGGGGGACACCGACCTGCTCTTCTGCCGTGACTTCCACAACAGCAGTCATCACAGGAGCCCCATTGTTCTCTCTCAGGGTGTCCATCCATCAGGACAGGCCAAGGTGGGCTCTGCTAACAAACAACCCTGACGTCTCCGTGACATAAAACACGTTCATGCCTCATGCCACCGTCAGACAGAAGACTGGTCCTGACCCTCTCGGGAGGGAAAGGAGTCTGCAGTGGATCGTCAGTTCAGCACGGAAGGTTTAGGCCAGCAGTCAACACACAGCAGTTCTGCTCACACGTGTCTCTCAAAGCAGATGCCCCACATGTGTCTTCAAGGGGGTGGTGAAGCACCATCCCACTCAGCACCCGTGAGCTGGCGACACGGGTGAGCAGCTTTCCGGACTGCTGCATGGGGGTTTCTCGTTGTGTGGCATTTTGATGCCCTCATGATGCAGGACAGGAGGGTTGCCACTGTTTTTGCAAAATGAAGATGCTGACCCCGAGGGTCATTCAGAGATCAACTCAAGTCGGTCAATTCCATGCCCTGGGGTGATCCCTTCGCACTTGCTGAGTTCTGATGGGAGTTTGCTGAAAGGCTACGGGAGGGATCTGCACCATGTACCAACCTCTTTCCCTTTCCCTCCTGAGAAAAGAATGAGTTCCCGGACTGGTTCAGTGACTTGTGTGCATACACACTCACATACACACATGCTGTAAAAAGGTGCAATGCAGAGTAAAGTACCTAATAGGGCGCTTCTAGCCACAGCCTCGGTTACTCTCACCAAATGATGTTTATTTTCCTGAAGGGTCTGGGTAAGAAGGCGAAGGAAGATTCTGATTTAGCTGTGAATGAATGTTAATTGGGCTAATTGTGATTGCCACCCAGCTGGGTACATAATCTGCCATCTCTGAATCATGGGGGACTTTCTCACTACCAGCACAGGAGAAGAACAAAGAGTAGAGCATGTCCTTTGGACCCGGAGATTCCTGAACAGTGAATGCCCTTGATTTAGGAATGGTGGGACTTCCCAGCCCACAGAGTAAATAAAGCTGAGTGCTTTGGGGCAGGGGCTGTGCTTGTAGAGTAAGATGACTCCGGACAATTAAATGTGGAAGCTGGGTTTGCTGACCCATGGCGCTGGAGCTGCCGGCCTTCAATCTAGGGCCTGTGTTCCAGGAGCATGCCTTTGGGCACTTATTGGCAGCACTAAGAGAATGTCGTAGGCTTGTCTGAGGTTCTAAGCCAGGCCAAGACACTGAAGGCCAGAGCAAGGCCTACCTTCAGGCATGGTAGAAGAGAACTTGTCCTGACTGACCAACCGAATCCTAAGCATTTCCCCCATGAATTATAACCTGTTGGTGCCCCTAAGAAACCCCATTATCGTGAACATTGTCTGTGCATTCTGTGTGGCCCTCGAGATGAATTCTGGAACCCAGCAGGAAAGCCGTGCGCAGGGAAAGTAGAGCACCGTGGAGAAGGAGCTGGTGTCAGAGAAGGTGAAGAAGAGTGGAGGGTGGAGGCAATCAGCCTTGGAGCCGAGGAGGTCAACTGTGGGCCCATGCTTTTTCCTTCAAAGAGTATACAGTGAACCCTCGTTTATCGCGGTCAATCGGTTCTAGACCCTACCGTGATAAATGAAATTCCGCGAAGTAGGATTCCTTATTTGTAAATCAAATATTTTCGTAGTTAGAGCATAGAGGACATGAAAAAACACCTTTTAGTCACCATTACACTCATATTACCCAATTTATTAAACGAAAAAGGGAAAATACAGTAAAACATTTTGGACGTTACAATTATCATTTATTATTTATTATATTATTTATGGCATCAAGCGTGTACAGTATGAGCCAATCAGTGGCAGTAATGACAGAGCATGCGCTGTTATGCAAAAACCGCGATAGAGTGAAGCCGCGGAAGTCGAAGCGCGAAGTGGCGAGGGTTCACTGTATATAGGTCAGTGGTTCTCAATGCTCCTAATGCCGTGACCCTTGAATACAGTTCCTCAGGTTGTGGTGACCCCCCCGACCCCAACCATAAGATTATATTTGTTGCTACTTCATCACTGTAATTTAGCTACTGTTATGAATCAGGCGACCCCTGTGAACGAGGCGGTTGACCCCCAAAGGGGTCGCGACCCTCAGGTTGAGAACCACTGGTACAGATCATTTCTTTTAGATTAGAAGGCTCGGAACAAGGCTAGTCCCTGTGAGGTGGAAGTGAAAGATACCCCAAATGTCCAAGTCTTCCAAAACGCTCTCCCATTCCATCATCAACACTCCTCACCCTGTCCACCCCACCGCTCAGGGCTCTGCTGTGCCGCAACAACCCACAGAGCTCACCAACCCCCGGATAAGGGCTTCCACAGTTGTGGAGGCCCGTGGATGAGCTCGGGCCATAGGCTGCCAGCTCAAGGCCCAAGGAGTCAGACCAAGGTTAGACGCAGGGTCCAGATGCCAGAGAGCTCTCTGCCTACGTGTTGCTGAGCGAGGCTCCGGAGGGGCAGAATGGCCAAAAGCAGCAGAAGTAGGTCTCCCTTGGTTGGTCAAGCAAAAGAACACCCCGGGGTGCACATCGCCAAAGTGGCTCCCCAAGTCCTGGACCAGCGTTTTTTTAGGGCGATAAGTGACACCTGACTGGTGTTCATGCCAATAATTCAGCCCAAGCACTAGCCTTCAGTGCATCCCCATCCAGCAAAGGGGGGAAAAATACAGTGTTTAGCCCACAGCAATGTGCCTTTAGCTCCCTGATGTCAAAGGTCAAATTGATGACATGTTAGACGTTACTCTGCATGCTGGGAAGGCCAGATCTGGTCTCAAGTAGTTCTGTGACCCTAGGCTGCCCTTTCCTTAATTAAACAGAAACCTGGCAGTTTGCCTAATAAGAGAACAACTTAAAACAGGAAATGTTCTCGTTTTAACACAGATATCAAAGATGATAGCTAATTTGCAGCCTACACCGCCAGGGACACTAATGCTGGTGGCTTGAGTCACACTTTCCCATAAGGTGGGAACTCAAAATACACTCCACCTTAGCCTGCCTTATTAACATAAAGCAGACAGCTCACTCCACAATGTGCCCAGAACCATAGGTAGGTCTCTCAAAAACAAAACAACAAACTCACTGCCATCGAGTCAGTTCTGATTCATAGTGACCCTATGGGACATGGCAGGACCACCCCTGTGAGTTTCTGGGACTGTCACTCTTTATCGGAGTAGAAGACCCTGTCTTTCTCCCAAGCAGTGGCTAGTGGTTTCCAACTGCTGGCCTGGCAGCTAGCAGCCCACCTCCAGGGCTCCTCTCACCATCGGAGGGCTAGAAGGCTCCTACTAAGTAGTTCACTGCATTGTATACACACACGTTCATGTTCCTACGTGGCAGCACAGGCCAGACTCTCCTTCCTGGACTCAATAGCTGGCTGCCTTGCCTCCTCTCCCTGCCCTCCTCCTGGGACCAGAATGATCTCCACGCGCTGGGACAATGGCTTAGAGCAAGCAAGGAGAGGGTAGCACGCCCTCAGCTTGGGGCGGGAGCTCAGGTGCGCACTGTGGTTTGTCTTCAGGTGGGCTCTGATTTAATCTGGCAGAAGGAAGGAGGGGCCCCTTGAAAGGCTGCCACGTAGGAACATGAACGTGTGTGTATACAATGCAGTGAACTACTTAGTAGGAGCCTTCTAGCCCTCCGATGCCTTCTAGCCCTTCTAGCTCCTTGAAAGAAGCCAAGCAGTTGTGAGAGCTGTCTGTGTGAGGAAGAGTGGAGACAGGAGAGGAGGAGGAAGAGAGGGCGGAGCTCTGGGTGCCCAGCCCCCCACAGGGAGTTTCCAAGCCTGTCCTCAGGATGGGGAAGCGTCAAGCTCCATGCTGCAAAGGAGCCATGGCCCTCCAGGCTTTCCTCAGCCCCGGATGGACCAGGCACCACACCAGGCTGCTACAAAGGGTGGACGCGATGGGCTACCAGGTTAAAGATTGGCATGTCCACTCTAGCCGCAGGCACCACCGAAGAAAAGCCTTCTGATCGACCTCCAATGAATCCACTATTGACCGCCCCGTGGAACACCCTTCCACTCGCCCTGTGTCAGCGACAACTGGATGGCAAGTGGTCTGTCCCAGTGCCGGCCCTCCATCCGTCACTCGGGAGCCAGAGCCTGGGCCAGAGAAGCTTGGCCGGAAACCCAGCCATTGCCATGACAGGCAGAGGTTGTGGGAGAAAGTAGGTCACCACCACCCTCTGCCTTCCACTGAGGGTCAGAGCTGACCCCCATGGCTCCTGCCTCCCCTCTCCTCCTGGCACAGAGGCCAGGCCCATCCGAGACGGAAGGCGCTCAGCTTGCTGGGTGACTCGGGCTCTGGTTGGCAAGGCCTCTGAGGACGGGAGGGCTGATGAGGGCAGACGCGGGCACTCGGCCAGCCATTTTCTTCTGTAGGGCGGAGCGAGGCAAACAGGATGGACGCCGCCGCAGCAATAGGAAGGTGGCTGGGAGGAAGCAACCCTTCAGCTACCCATCCAGCTTTATGTGGGCACGTGGTGCTGTCCTTTCTGGGGGCAGGATCATCAAAAGGCAGCCGTGGGGCCCTTCCTCCCCACCAGCCCCAGGTGGGCAGAGGACCAGAGGAGGGAGTTAGCACCACAGTGGACACCAGGTGTGACCGATGCTGCTGTGGCCGGCTCCTGTCAGGCTTCCTTGCGACCTGCTCTCCGGGGTCCGAGGGGCTCACCTGCTCTGCCTGCAGGGAGGGTGACCTGTGGAAGAGGTGCCTTCAGAGAGTCACTCCAGCCCGGTGGCTTTAGGGTCCCATCTCTCTCTCCCGGAGAGATTTCCCTCCCTCTGGGAGGGAAACTGGAATGAGCATTGGCCCTTGGGTCCCCAAACCGGTGAAACATTTGTCCCCTGGTTCTCTGTGGCCCCGTAGCTCCCCTCCCACTCACTGAGGGCCATCAAGGGTCAGCTTGCAGTCAGCAGTGAAGACTGTCCTATCAGCGGCAGCCCAGATAGCACGGGACAATGGATACTGCACAGAATTTCCTCTCGGCCCGGAGCCGGTGCGGGAGGCTCCCAACCCCCCCTCCCCGTCCCGAGGCAAATGTGCAGCACTGTGCCTGGCACTGAGGCCCTGGCCCAGTCAACGCTGCACTCCAAGCCGGCAAGCGGGTGGTGCTGTCTGGCTGACTTCCCCACGTACGCAGACACGGCCTCCTTGGGGGTCCCTGAAGATACATCAGCTCAAACCAAACCAACTTCCTGCCATGGAGGCAGTTCTGACTTACACTGACGCTCTCGGGCAGTGGTTCTCCACCTTCCTCCTGCCGAGACCCTGTCATCCAGCTCCTCCTGGGGGCTGACCCCCAACCATCAAATGATTTCCGTTGCTACTTCCTAACTCATTTTGCTACTGCTATGAATCATCATGTAAGATCTAATATGCAGGATGTATTTTTGTTGTTACACATTGAACATAAAGCATAGTGATAATCACAAAGACAATATGCCATTATATATTGTGAAATATTTATTTCTAATTAAAATCAATGAAATGTTATCTTGAAGCATGCTGTAGCATGGGTAAGTCTTCATGCGGGTACTTGTATGTGAGCGTATCTACATGTGGGTGGACCCACCTGGAAATGGATAGAGGAGCAGTGTCTCAGCTCCTAAGACCATTGGAAATATGTGTTTTCCGATGCTCTTAGGTGACTCCTGTGAAAGGGTCGTTCAACCCCCAAAGGGGTGGCGACCCACAGGTTGAGAACCACTGTTCTAGGGCCAGGTAGAACTGCCTGCATGAGTTTTGAGACTGTCCCTGTGTACGGGAGCAGCCAGCCTCATCTTGCTCCCAGCAATGGCTGATGGTTTCCAATTGTTGACCTTGTGGTTAGCAGTGGCCACTCTGCCACAAGGGCTCCTGCCGTGTGCTGACCTGTCTGCTCGGCTGGCTCACGGCATCCAGTCACCCCCAGAAAAACTGACTCACAAGAGGCTAGCTGTCCAAGGTCACACAGCTAGGGAGGGCCAAGCTAGAATTTGGACACCTCCACCCATGCCTTTCCTATTTAGCAACCTTGCCTCTTGCTGGTCAAGTGATCACACGGTGGAAGTGGTGCCGGGTCTAGCACAGCCCACCTGCTCCCACCCCTCTGTTTTTCTGGGTGCTAGGTGACCTCACCGCTGGACTATTGGGGAATACCTGAGAGACTTTCAGGTGTCACTTGCCCAAGACACTGACCATGAACTTCTCTCCTTCCCTAGCGAGTGACTGGCTGCATCCTCTCCAATGTCAACACACCTTCCATGACGCCTGTGATTGGACAGCCCCAGCACGAGAACCCCCAGCCCATTTACCAGAACAGCAACGTGCCCGCCAAGCCCACTGCAGGTAGGGGACATGGCACGGCCTGTGAGGAGCGGGAGCACAGCGGCTGCGGAGAGCAGACTGTTGGGCCCCATGGCCAGACTTAGATCCAGTAGGTCTGGGTGGGGCTGAATTTGCATCTATGACAGGGTCCCAGGTGATGTTCCTGCTGCTAGGCTGGGGGCCACCCTTCAAGAACCCTTGATAGAGCATTCAGAGGGAACTCCTCCTAACAGGAAAGGTTGGGGAAGCTGGAAGGGGTTGGGGGGAGGAAGAGAAGAATGGGGGAGGGAGGAGAGATGAAGAGAGATTGGAGGAGGAAAAAGGGAAAAAGATGCATTGGAACGGGAATTAAAAGGACAAAGTGAGTGTTTTCCCCAGGGAGTAGGGGTGCTTAATGAGAGTCACACAGCCAAGAAGTAGCAGGGTCAGGGGTCGCACCCAGGCAGTTGGTATCCAGAACCCCCAGTGACAGGAAGCAGGCACCACCAAGCCTGATGGAACATCTAATACCGTAGTGCCCACACGGTTGGTATTAGTGCCGGCACAGGTTCACTTACAGTATGATTCCATGACATCATGCCCCCTTACAACGAAAACTCAGATTCTAAAAGGTAAGTGTTTTGCCCCAGGTCACACAGCTCAAAAGTAGAAGAGTTAGAATTCCTAGGGAAGGGCCGTCTAACTCTACCAAGAGGCCAACTCACTGCCATCAAGTCCATGCCGACTCATAGCGACCCTGCAGGACAGGATGGAACTGCTCCCGTGAGCTTCCTAGACTGAAGCTCATTGTGGGAGTAGAAAGTCGTGCTTTCTCCCGTGGGGCAGCTGGTGGTTTCAAACTGCTGACCTTGAGGTTAGTAGCCCAACCCCTTACCATTATGCCACCAGGGCTTCCTGTCTACCTCTAAGGCCATTCAAATATATGTTCTTCCAGGTCCAATTCCCAGGAGAGATCCCAGCAGAGGGAACACTGCTTTTCAAGCCTAGGCCATAGATGATAGTATGGTTGATTAAAAATCGAGTAATTCTCAAAGAAGTTCCAGAATTTCATAGTTCTCACACAGCTGCACACAAGGGAAACATTTTCTGGATTGGAGCCCAGAGAGATCATTGAAAACCAGGTCCCTCTCAGCCAAATATAATGGTTGCTTATTTTAAAGACCATCTGCATGGGAAGCCATGACTTAGCCTAGCAGAATCCCCACCCCCCCTCCACCCCCCCACCCCCTGCCGCAAATATGAACTTTGCCACCTGCGGAGCCTCCTGGGACCTGGGTGTTCCTGTTCAGTGGTGGGGAGTGATTGCGGACAGAGTTGGGTCAAACCCAGGGAGAAAATGCCCACTAAATAAGAAATGGGAAAAGGCAATCTGGCCTATAGACCTTTGGAACGGAGAACATGACTTAACATATGTTCTGCACACACAATGTTATGCATGCAAAAGAGTGAGAGGAGAGGGGAATGAATGATGTGCCCCTGTATCCGTAGTAAGGAGCCATGGTGATGTCGTGGGCAACAAGTTGGGTTGCTAACGACAAGGACAGTAGCTCAAACCCGCTGTTGCTCTGCGGGAGAAGGATGAAAAAGCTATCTACTCCCTTAAAGATGTACAGTCTCAGAACCCCACCCGGGCAAGTTCTACTCTGTCCTACTGGGTCATTATGAATTGGAATGGACTTAATGTCTGTGAAGCTTGGTTTTATAAACACCAAACTCATTACCATGGAGTCAATGCTGACTCATCGCAACCCCTGTAGAGTTCTGTTCACCGGAGTAGAAAGCCCAGTCTTCGTCCCGCAGACCTGCTGGTGGTTTTGAACTGCCAACCATGCGGATCACAGCCCAACTCATAACCATTATGCCACCAGGGTTCCTTTTTACTGTTAGCAGTGGTTATCTCTGCGTGTGGGACCAAGGGTGCTTCTTCTGTCCTCCTTTATATTCACTCACCTCCATTGTGCCGATGTTTCCCACAATGTCATAAACATGAGCTGGGAATAGATTCCAGTCTATGGCTCGAGGTGCTTGTGCCTGGACTGCTGAACGGGAAGAAGGACTTTTTTTGCTGTCATTTTTCTGCCCTTTCCCCTGGCCCCCTTTCCCACTGTCCACCACCTCTGTCTGTCCTCGCCACTGCGGCCCCCATGCTGAGCAGCAGCACACATTAGGTAGTGCGTGGTTCCCTCCTGTCCCCATCCCCGTCTGTCTATGTTGCTCTCTACTCTCTCCTACAGCCAAGATCTTGGGGAAAGTGGGCGAGAGCCTCAGCCGGATCTGCTGTGTCCGCCCGCCGGTGGAGCGCTTCACCTTCGTGGGTAAGTGAGTGAGGCTGGGAGGCTTTCCCACATCAGCCATCTTTCTTTTCCTCCTTCCTCCATTCTTTCAGCAGATGCTCCCAAAGCTCCTGCGATGAGATATGCAGTAACAGAGTTGATAGAACACAGAAAAGCAGTGTGCATCCATCCCCACTGACATCACCTCCCCGTCACACACACACACCCAACCCGGCATTGCTCACGAGGGAGCCCACCCAAAGCCTCGGTCTTTCCCACCTGTCTGCAGTTCCTGCTCCATAGCCCCAGGTGTAAAAGCTCAGCTTCCTCTGTTTGGCTCATTCCTTGAGCCAGGTAACTCCTAAGGGAAGGGCTCCTGTGACTCTCAAAGCTCTCACTGTGGGATTTGCGGGTTCTCCGGAGGGAAAGGAACCGAGTGACCGGTGTGTGTAAGTCAGCCCGAGGCCCCCCTGAGGGGCATCTCACCAAGCATCTTATCTCCCCATGATACAGAAAGAGGAGGAGTGTGTGTGTGTGTGTGTGTGTGTGTGTGTGTGTATTTGCCATCGACTCCCTAGCCAGCCAGCTTCTCTAACCCTCAAAGCCCCAGCAATGTGAAGTCCTGTCCCTGGAGTGTGGGACCACAGCCCCCCTCAGTTTGTGCTCCCTGCTCACTCATAGCCCCTGTGTGGAAGGGGCAATGTATCCTCCCCCCACCCCCTCCACCCTATCCTGAGCCCTCCTTCAGAGGCTGCTCAGGGTGACCCCACTGGGCACCGCACAGGTGCCCTGATGCTCTGTGCTCCGTCTCTCCTCCCCAGATGAGAACGCCAACCTGGGCACAGTGATGCGGTACGAGGAGATCGGTGAGTCGGGCAGGGGAGCGGGCACACTGGGAGCTGGGGGAGAGAGCAGATGCTGGAAGCCCTGACCTGTGTTTGCAGCCATGTCTGCTCCCAGGAGAATACACTTTCTTTCCCAGGCAAGATCCTGTTCTTGAGCATCTCCCCTCTAATGTCCCTGAACTGGCCTCCAGCCAGTTCCCAGGAGACAGGCCTGGGTGCATTGGCAAGTTTTCCTTTGGAGCCTCCTCTCCCTCCTCTAAAAGCTGTGAGAGCGGGGCTGCAGTAGGCCAGCCAGAGACCCTTCTGCCCACAGGATGACACCCCTCCCGCCCCTCCACCCCACACCCCACACACCTCAGAAGCACTGCTCCGCCATTTCTACCAGAGGTTTCTAGGGCCTGAGGGGGGAGAGCCCCCTCGCTGACCTGCCCTGCAGCCCGGCTGAGACTGAGTTGTCCCACAGACATGGGGCTGGTGCAGGTGCAGGGCCCAGTAGACAGCCAGCTCTGCTGGGAAGGGAAGGAGCCATCCAACCCAGGAGCCAAAGTTCAGTCCTAGCCTTCCCTAAGAAGCAACCCAGACAACAAGAGTCTCTCCAGGGTTCCACAGTGGGTGAGAAGTGGGGACACGGGCTGGAGCTGGGGAAAGGGAGGGCAGGTGGCAGAATGGAGGTAGAGGATGGGATAGGTATTGGGGCCCAGTAACAAGGAGGCTGGGGACAGCAGGAGTACCACTTCTCCCAGCTGAGGGGTGGTCTGGTGTCCTGTTGCGATGCTCAGTCTTCAACTTCTTGCTGAAAGCATCCCCTGGGCACCCCTCCTCGTGATCGAGGCCTGTGGCTGTGACCTTGGGCAAGGCAGGGCTGCTTCTGAGCACCAGGCTCTCCCAGCAGCCTCCTAGCTCAGGCTCAGGGCAGCTCTGGGTGTCCTCGGGCCTGAGGCTTGGGGTGCAGGAGCGGGCTCTCACCAGTTTGCGAGCAACAATTGTTCCGTGTCCTGAAATGTTGATGTCTAACCACTTGGTAGAAATCACCTTCTAAATATGAGATGATCTAAACAGCCCCAAACCAAGCCCAATGCTGCCCAGCTCAGCGCAGCCTCACAGGACAGAGTAGAACTGCCTCACAGGGTTTCCTAGACCAAAAATCTTCACAGGAAAGGATCGCCACAGCGGTCTCCTGCAGAGCAGCCAGTGGATTCAAAGCACCGACCTTTGGGTTAGCAGCTGAGTACTTAACCACTGCGCCACCAGGGCTCTGGCATCTAAACTTGCCAGTAAACACACTGCATTAAAATTAAAGGTGATTTGGCAGCAAATAGATCCACGAAGGTGGTGGTGTGGATAGGAGGCAGAGTTAGACATAACCAGATTCCTGGAGGGAATGGGGCATAAGGACCCTCCTCTCAGGGGACACTAAGTCTCCTGGGATAACAGCCCACAAAGGAAATGTTCTTCAACCTACTCGGTGAATAATGACTGAAGTCTTAAAAGCCACCCAGCAGCCATCTATTGGTCTCTCCCTAACAGAGACCAGGCTTACTGGTTGGATAGAGACTGGCGGGAGCCCTCAGACTATGGCTCTCGCTGGTATCTGGAAGGGAATTCACCTCTGTGGTAGAATAAGCAACTCTCTGAGATCAAAAGGGCAGTTTTTACCAGACCAAGTTCAGAAGGTTGGGAAAGAGGGCGGAGCAGAAACAGGAAACAGGGGAAGGAAATGAAGTAAGAGAAGCACATTGCAAGGATGGCAGCGGAGAGCGTTAGGAGAACATGCCGATCTCGTTGGTTGCCATGCTGATGACGTGTGTCTCTGTACTTGGGCAAGGCCTCACCGGATTCACAGCAAGACGTTACACGCGGAAAACAAGGGTGATGATGACTCAAAACCCCTCACTTGCTCCGTCTTTTGACTACATGTCACCGCACTGAGGACCACCTGCAGGGGTGCCCAGTTCTTGGGTGAACTCCCAGAAGACACTGAGGCGGGAGTGTGAGCAGGGCACCCTGAGCACCCCGCAGGCCCACTTCCCTGCACTTCCTGCCCCAGGCTAGGATCCACCGCTCATCAGTAGAGCTCAGAGCAGCCTTTACTCCGGGGTAGACTGCTCTCCCTTCTCGATCCACAGAAACAAACGTTGGTGGCCACAAGGCTGCAACTCTATCTCCCCAGCACCCAGGCTGGAGCGTCAGGGCATCCCCTGGCTCCGGGAGAGCCCTGTCTACAGACGGGCACGCTGCACTGTCACCGGCCTGGCGAGGGCTTTCAAGACAAAACAGACATCAGTTGCCGTGGCATTAATCCCTGTGTGTCTGGGGAGAAACGTGTGCCAGAGAGTTCTAATGGCTGATTTTATTTTTAACCCTTTATGGCAAATTAGGTAAAAGTTCACCGAGCGACTTGGTGTCCATTGGGCAGTTCAGACCCCTTTTGTCTCCGGACATTGATTGCACTCCCCGCCTGGCATAGTACTTAGCCCAGGTCCTTCCCCTCTTGCTCACCAGGTTCATTCCTGCCTTCTGGGCTTCCCCCCTGGGTAGATGTTGCCCTTCTGGTGCCAGGACCAGTGCATTCCCCTCCTCTCCCTGGCGTTACTTTACAGGCCTGCCTATCATGGCTGAACGTTGAGCTGTAGGTTCAGTACCAGCCTCAGGGCTGTCTAAGGGCCATGGGCTCTGGTTCTACCAGGCTCTTTCTGATCTATAAGGCTGCCCCTCCCTCCCCCAGGCTGCTCACTGGGGGAGAAGGGGCCCCCCAGTGTGTTGAAGAGAGGCAGGGGGATGGAGAAGGTTCAGGCTGGGAGAATGGAGAGGTGGGTGGTCTCAGCTGGCAGGATGGTTTTCCCACCTGTTGGGTGAAGGTGGTTGCCTCGGGGTGTGGTGGAAGCTGGACTGTGCCTCCCTGCAGGCCTGGGCTTCACATAGTTGGGATTCTTGGGAGAGGATTGTATGAAGCAAGCGCCCTTCAGGCTGCCCACCCTGGATGGGGGCGAGCTGGGGAACGAGGTGGGCCCAGAGGCAGAGGAAGCTGCTGGGCTCACGACAGATGCTCCCGTTTTGAAACCCCCTCCCATGCTTCACCAGAAAGAAGGAGGCATTTTCTCCAGCTCAGTTCGCATCCTAGGCCCGGTTCTGAAGGCGCTCCCCAGGTGACTGCTCCTGGTCACTGCCCCAGGACTGACTCCTGAGGGCTGGGGACCACCTAGTGTTAGCCGCTGACCCAGGAGAAACCACCGCTGCCCTCCAGCGGCTGCAGGTTGGATCTCACTCCTGGCTCGGTTTCCTGTCGGGGCGGCGAGAGCACTTGTTGCATCTCCAAAAGAGAACAAACCCAACGCACCGTCATTGTCGAGTCGTTGCTGACTCATGCAACCCTATATGACAGGGTGGAACTGCCCCTGCGCGTTCCCGAAACTGTAACTCTTTACTGGAGTAGAGAGCCCCATCTTTCTCCTGAGGAGTGGTTGGTGGTTTTGAACTGCTGACCTTACAGTTAGCAGCCCAACCAGTAACCACTATGCCACCAGGGCTCCCTGCAACAAGAAAAGACCCTGAGATGTAACTGTCTGCTTCGGCCTCAAATATAATGTCTTCCATTCTGTGGTTGACTGTGGAGCAGGGGTGGTCCATGGTAGTGCTGGTGACCGCTGACTCAGGATCATTCTCGGTTACGGGGCTTGCTCTGTGCATTGTAGGATCTTCAGCAGTCTCCTTGGCCCCTACACACTAGGTGCCAGCCGTTCCCCGCCCCCGCCCCCCCTCGTGAGTTGTGACAGTCCAACAGATCTCTGAGATGTTGCTGCATTGCCCCCAGGAAGGAGCCCTGATAGCGCAGTGGGTTACACATTGGGCTGCCAGGTAGTGGTTTGAACCCAACGGCCCCTCTATGGGAGAAAGATGAGGCGGAAATGACTCAATGACGGTGAGTTTGGGTTTGGGCTTTTAAGAACCTCTGCTGTGGAGGACGCCAAGGGCTAGCAGGTTCCCCAGACATGATCCCCTAACTGCATCTTCAGGTGCACACAGAGCCTCAGCCTTCCAGCCTGGCTCTGAGTCAGGGAGGGGAGAGGCCGGCTTGCTCTTCCCAGCTGCGCAGAGCCCTGCGCATCCCCCACAGGTGGGGACCTGGGCCGGCAGCCCTTGGTGGGTGTGGAAAGCACCCCCAACTCAGACAAGCATTTTCTCTGGTGCCTCCCTGGCTGCCCGTGTCCTCTGGCATCAGCTGATCTTCTCATTCACCACTCTGCATGTCCTGAGCACCTACTGTGTACCAGTGACACTGCCATGACACGGGGATTAAGGAGAAACGTCGGATGACGGTGGTTATGGACCATCAGACTACAGTACGCTTTGGGGAAGAGAAGAGAGGCAGCAGGGAGATTTAGGAGTTAAGAGCCCATCGCTCAATGGGCTCCTGAGGATGATGAGCTGCTGGCAGTGTCTGTCCCATGCCAGAGAGACATCTGGACATGCCCGCTGCAGTAGGGCAAACCGCCATCTAGAAGTCCTCCTCAGGGCGCTGGGGGGCACCCTGGTGGGAGGCTAGGGGGTCAAGGCAGGCTGGGCTGGCAGCAGGGAGTGGCAGTAACCTCTGGGGACTGGTGCTGACCTAGAAACCTGGCTCTGTAGCACCCAACACTGTGGGCTGTGTCCCAGGCTTCCTTTTCCTCAGGGCTCGGTTTTAATGAGCAGTCCCGTTATGGAAGTCCCTGTTTGCAGAGACACTGGGCCTCACTGGGATAATGCAGAGTGGGCTTAATGAGGGAAGGGCAACCACGGAGGAGCAGGGAGGGTGCCTGGCAGGGACCTGCCAGGAGGCAGGAGCCTGGTGCATGGGTGCAGTAGGCAGGGCCAGCAGTGGGCGCACAGAGACTGTTAGTGTCTGATGAACTCAGCTTCTCGGGGTGCCCCGGACGTCTTCCCTCGATGGCACCTGCAAAGGGAGACAGGCCCCGGATAGTGCAGTGCCAGGGAACCCTAACACAGTGACAGCTAGGTTTGCCACAGCGCCAGGGGAGTCCCTCAGCTCTTACTCAGCCAAAACCCTCCTCCAGGCTGGGGTGACCAACCATCCTGGTTTAGCACCCAGGGACCCACCTGCCAGACGACCTGGGACAGTTGCTCATCCATTCTGCCCCATGCTCCCACAAGGGAGGGGACGCAGGGTAGGGAGGTGTCTGTAAATGTGCCTGAGGAGCAGGCACATGGAGGTTTCTGAACTGCACACTGGGTCTGGGGTGTCTGGGAAAGCTGGGTCCGGAACCTCCAGCATGGAACTCTGTGTTCATGTGGAAAGGCTTTCTGAAAGAGACAGGGCTGTTTTCCAGGTCCCCGCCGACTCATTGCATCCCTTTGCAACCTTCTTGTCCCCTCTCCGCAGAGCTGCGGATCTTGCTGCTGTGTGGCAGCGACCTGCTGGAGTCCTTCTGTATCCCGGGGCTCTGGAACGAGGCAGACGTGAGTAGCAGGGTTCTGGCTCTCAAGGAGCAGAGGGGAAAGGAAGGGTGTGTGTATGTGTGCAATTGGTTTGGCCCCTTTATTTGCCTTTCCTCCCTAACCGTCTTCCTCCTCCCCTCCGTAATTCCCACCTCCGGTGAGCACCCAGGAGAGTAATCCATTCCTAGGCTGCAGAAGACAACCCTCCCCACCCAGCCCCTTACCTCCCACTGCATGTTCACACTCCTCCTGCTGACCCCTGTGATCCAAACAGGAGTCACAGAATACCTTGCTCCAACTGGTCCTGGCGGTGGCAACCGGTACTGGCAGTACTGGCGGTGGTGAAGAAGAACCCAAACCAGAGGCAAGCACCCTCTGCCTGCTTGACGCTTCTGTGTGTTTCCTTTCGTAGAGGTCGTTAATACCACCCTAAATCTGCCTGACAAGGAACCAGAGGTCAAGAGGAGAGATGCTAGTGGCAAAAGGTCACTAGGACCCTCCTGGCTTTTGATGGAGGTTGTATTAAACAGAGATGCTAGAGAGATATACAACAGTTTGTGCTCTACGCATTTACGATCTAGATTAGATGGCCAGGTATCTGTGTGTGAAATCTTTGTTCATGTGATGGTCTACTTCCACGAAGTGATTACAGCCCTGTAAACCCTCTAAGGTGGTTCTATTCTGTCCTGTAGGGTTGATTAATGGCAGTGGGTGTACCGTGCTTACTACAGCTTTATTGTAAAAAACAAACGGACTAAAAGGGATACAGATGAAGATGGGGTCCCATCTAGCATGGAGCTTCCATGACCCAAAGAAAGACCTTCTTCTCTCTTCTCTCCTGGGCATAGTCACCAACCAGGGAGCAACGCCTGAGCCTAGCGGCTCAGGGCTTTCGTCAATGTCACCACAAGATCCGGATATTGACGTCCTGTCTCATGATGCTCAGTCAGCCCTGGCCCCGCAGGCAGGCCTTTTCGGACTGGTCAGCCTTATCGATGAGCCTCAGCCGTTGGAACAACTCAAAAGAATCAAATGCCAAATTGCTTTCTGCCAGGTGATTGCACACCTTGCAGCTTGTCACTGGAGAGAGAGAGAAGCTGACCAAATGAATGAGACTGTTCCCTCCATGCATGGGGCTGCGATCTGCAAGATCAGCAGTTTGAAACCACCAGCTGCTCCTCGGGAGCAAGGTGGGGCTTTCTACTCCCATGAAGACTTACCATCTTCGAAACCCACAGGGGGTAGTTCTCCCCTGCCCTCTAGGGACGATATGTGTCTCCATCAACTGGATGGCAGGGAGCTGGCCCAGAGGAGCCCAAGTCGTACTCATCACGGCTTTCATCCGAGCTGCGGTTTCCCGCCTCTTCACAATGAGAATGACCATAGGGTCAGCGCATCGGCCTTCAGAGAACGAAATGAAACTGCCCACGTAAAGTGCCTAGCACAGTGCCTGGCACACAGTTAACACGCGACAGCGGTTAATAAGTGGATTTACCTAAGTAGACACACACATATCCATCCGCAGAGCTGTCCACGGTGAAAGCCCGAAGTGCTAACATGGATTGGGATAACCAAGAGAGGGGGGAGAGTTTTAGGGAAGCAAATGATACTGTGAAGTCCTTTCATCTCCACCCAGAACAATTTGGAGCAGGTGAAATTCTAAATCTCCTTTCAGTTCGGGATTAAGTGGCTTAATTAGCTTTTGCTTTCCTCTCTGCTTCACAAGGTGCTGTGGAAGTAACTAGTAATGTGGGCAAAATTCTGTACAGATCTCAGCAAAGCCCTTTCAAGGATCCAGGCAAATCCAGGCGATTGCCTGGGCCCTGTCCCCTGCTGAGGCGGGCAGTTTGGGTGAGATGTAGAGGGATGGAGTGGGCAGCTGGGACAGCAGTCTGAAGTGCCTGGAGGCAGGCAGGGGATCTGGGTGCAGGGGCAGGGCTGCTGTGTACTACCTGGGTGAAGGGCTCCTCTGGGAGGCTTGGCCCAGGCTTTCTGGGGCCTGGAGTCCACCCGACAAGGCCAATTCTATTCTGTTCCTTCCCAGTAGCTTGCCAGCTCCAGTTCCTCTGATTTCCCTCCAGGAGGCAGCGCTGCATATCAACCTCGGAGGACAGAGAGCACTCTGGGTCTCTCCTCCTCTGGGCAGTGCGTGAGGTCTTGGGGAATTGACTTTGGGGCTAAAACAGAAAATGTGGGAAACCAGCCGCCATGGATTTGCCAGGAATGTGATCAAGGAGGTGGAGTGAGACCGTGGCCTTGGACCAGGTTCCCCTTTTGCATTCCTGGGGGAATCACAAAGTTCCAGTGTCTTACAACTGGCCGTGGGAAAAGGGTGGGGGGTGGGGGTGCTCTCTTGACCATCATCAAACCATCTGCCATCAGGTCAATTCTGACTCAGAATGACCCTCTCAGACAGGACAGAACTGTCCCACAGGGTATTAAAACACAACAACCAAACTCACTGCCCGCGAGCCAATTCTGGCTCTTGGCAACCCTACAGGGAGGGTAGAATGGCCTCTGTGGGCTTCTGAGGCTTTATGGGAGTAGAGAGCCTCGTCTTTCCCTCTCAGACTGGCTGGTGGTTTCGAACTGCTGACCTCGAAGTTAGCAGCCCAACACACCACTACTATGCCACCAGGGCTCCAAGGTTATAAAAATGTTTTAATCATTTTATTGGGGGCTCACACAACTCTTATCACAATCCATACATGCATCCATTGTGTCAAGCACATTTGTACATTTGTTGCCATCATCATTCTCAAAACATTTGTTTTCTACTTGAGCCCTTGGTATCAGCTCCTCATTTTCTCCCCTCCCTCCCCGCTCCCCCATCCCCCCTCTCTCATGAGCCCTTGATAATTTTAAATTATTATTATTTTGTCATGTATTATACTGTCCGACATCTCCCTTCACTCATTTTTCTGTTGTCCATCCCCGAGGGAGGAGGTTATATGTAGATTCTTGTAATTAGTTTCCCCTTTCCACCCCACCCTCCCTTCACCCTCCCAGTATAAACTTTTTTGAATGATTTTTTTGTTGTGAATTAAGGGTGAGGGGCGGGGGTGTTGTTGTACATTTTAGACTATTAACTCTGCATCAACTCTTTAAACCATTCATCAGCCCCCACCCACCCACCCCTGGAGTCCATTGCAACTCCCCCCCTGATATTTCTTGGCCCACTTGTGGGTCTTTATTCCTCCTTTCACTCAAGCCAACACCTGACAACCCTCCTAGTCTGCTGCTTCCTCTTCTCCCCCTCGCCCTCCCTCCCGTGGGAGCCCCCAAGTCTGTTCCCGTTGGTGTGCGAGGCTCTGTTTGGTCTGTATCCCCGTATAGTAGCCGACCCACACTGCTTACTCCCCACCTCTGTTCAACCAATCGCTCTGTCCCTGCCTCAGCCCATGGCCAACCTGAGGGACTCTTGGGACTGCTGCCTCTGAGGGAGAGAGGCAAATAGATGAAGGGGCCGTCTCCTTACATAACTAATGTGAATCGCAGCCCACAACACGAAGTGTGCCAGACATCTCACGTTTAATGTACTTAAATCAAATGTAAAGTCCAATGCCATCCTTAACGTTTAGGCTCAGTTGTGACTGATCACCAGCACCTGAGAGGTGCTGGGCCTGGAAAGAGGCCAGGGCTCTGGCATCAGTGTGTTAGGGTCACCACGTCTGTGCTCCTTAAGGTGGCCTGGAGGCAGGGGTGCTGCCGCCCGCCGGGGCCCGGGGCTCTTGGACCAGAGTGGGCAGCCAGTGTGGTCCTCACCCCTGGCTCCCCACCAGCCCTCCTCCTCCTCTGAGGCCCTGCCCGAGGGGGTGTCCCAGAGAGAGCGGGCTGTGGGCTTCACAGACCTCCAGCCCGTCAGTGTAAGAGTCATGTGTGACCAAGAGGGGAAACCCAAGAGACCAGACCTCTGTCACCCCCTGTCCGCTTTAACTCATAGAAACCCTCCAGGCCAGAGTAGAACTGCTCCATAGGGTTTCCAAGGCGGCACCTCCTGACGGTCCCATCTTTCTCCCGTGGAGCCCGGGCTTCACCCACTGCACAACAAGGGCCCCCAGGGAGGGCCGGGAGAGGGAGAGAGAAGAAGAAGAAAGGAAAAGGCCTCCCCTCGTTCTCTTTCTCCTCTCTAGACAGCTATGTTGCTGACTTCCCACACCTCAGGGGCTGCCCACACCTCCCCCCGCCCCCCAGCCCTGCAAACGTCCTCAAAGGCACCGGTCCACTGTCCTGCTGGAAACAGGGCTCAGCGTGAGCAAGCAAAGGGATGCACGGAGCACAAACTATTAGATACTGGGTGATAGTCCCACCGACTTCATTGAGAGAAGGCTGGGTCGATCATGTCTGGAGATGGAAGGTGTTTCAAGACTGAGCCCTGCCCGTTCTGCTAGAAAGTTCTACCCTATGGGGGTTGCCCGGGAGCAACCTATTTTAGGGATTTCTATCCCCAACCGTGAGACTTCTAGGAATGAAGTATATGAAACAAACCTCCCCCTATTGGTCTCAGCTTTTAGTCCTTCATTCATTCGTTTATCCCTTTATCAGAAGACATTTCTCTTTACCCCCTGGTACCCCAAGTGACTCCTGTGGACGAAGCTCTCTGCGCCGAGCCCAGTGTCCCCAAGGCCCATCTTGGGGACAGCAGTGTGGTCAGGATTTTCCCAGGTCCTGGTTCCTCAGCCCAGTCTTCAGTGTGTCTTCCCCACTCAGAAACGAGGTCAGCGAGAGCCACTAGTCCAGGCTGGTCTAGGGAGAATTAAGAGCCCCACCACCAGTCTGCCATGAATGGGCCAGAGGACCTGTGCAGTGAGCATCCCTCTACCCCGGCTGGACGCAAGCGGAGCCCTCTGTGGCTTGGATTCCAGGCCTGAGTCCTTCCAAGCAGAAATCCAATTACACAGCTGAAGGGAAAGCCTCCCACCCCGCCAGCCACCATAAACACACCCCATGGCATTTCCCATTGGGCACAAAGGCCCATTAGCCCACGCAAATTCTAACCTCCTTTGACCAGTGGCGCCCCC